AGAAAAAAAAAAAAAAAAAAAAAAGAAAAAAAATGCTACTTTGGGGTACTAAAGATAGGAAAATTAATTTTTCTGCCCAAAAAATGTCCTCCAAACAGAGGTTAAATGAAAAGTAAAATTAAATAAATTATTTAATTTTATTTATCAATTGATATCACATTAGCGTCATCTAATCTGTGTTGTAATTCCAATAAAACTAAATAACATTACTCTTCAAATTAAGGGTCAAATTTATATTATCTCAACAATATCTATCAAAAGATTTGTCAAAATATTTTTGTATAAGCAGCCTAGTCCCCGTTTGATTATGATATTTCAAGCCAAAAAATAATATTTTGATCTTTGCTTAACATAATTAGCCATCATTTTTGACATCTTCACTTACAGGTGAAATCCACCTTTCAAGTTAACGGACCCATTTGTGAGTGAAGATGTTAAAAATGATGATTAATTATGTTAAATAATGGTCAAAATATTAATTTAACTCCTGAAATGTGAATCTCATTTGTGAGTGGAGATGTAAAAAATGATGGTTAATTAAGTTAAATAATAATTAAAAAATTAATTTTTTGGCTTGAAAAATCAAATGGTTCCTACCCAAAATTTTACCCGCGGTCAACGCATTTTATTCCTTTCTTTGGTAAAAAGATAAGAGAATTCATCTACGTTTAAATCTCCGTCCGCCCCTTCTCTCCTCTTTTTTGTAGATACGCACAATATTTACACACTATACGTATATCTCTCTGTCTATACAAAATCAGATTCATACGCAGTAGTGGAAGGAACAGGAAAAATGGCGGCTTTTGAGTACCTAGAGTCCCTTCGTAATGCGCATCCGGAGCTTTCGGAGTGGTACAACACGCTTGCAGATCTGTACCAGCGGAAGCTCTGGCACCAGCTCACGCTCAAGCTTGAACAGTTCGTTGCCCTTCCTGTCTTTCAGGTGCCAACCCCCAAACAAATGCAAAACCATATATGTAAACATGAATTATAAGTTTTTATTCACAATTAAAAAAAAATCTATATTTTATTTAGTCAGTTTGGGATATTTTCGAGGTCTAGGGAACTTGGACACTTGGGGTTTTAGTTTTTTTGGTTGGGTAGGAAGTGGATTTTAGGTTTTAGGAATTAGGGTTTATCCTTTATTATTATTATTATTATTATTATTATTATTATTATTTGGGTTTGTAGAATTTAGGAAAGGCAGATTCTAGGCAGTGTTTAATGGTTCTTTATGTTTAAAGAGATGGGCAAATTTTAGTTTAGCTGAGAGAAATGAAAGTTTCCATTGAAACCTGGAACGTATAATCAAGATAAACCGTATATTTTTAGAGATACAAATCAAAGGATGAATTATAAAGAATGGGACTTTTCTTTCTAGGACTTTAACCTTTATGAGCCCACCATGACCATACCGTGATAATATTTGAAATCCAGAAGCCGTATGAGAAAAGAAATGTATAACTATCTGATTTTCATCTTGCAGTGGCTTGTGACTTGAGAGCATCTTGTGTTTTACTTATCACACTGTGACTCCATTTTACGAGTATTTTGTGTTTATATTAGTGCCTTTTAAATCTTAACAGAGACAAAAATTTAAAGTCGCATATATAGGAATTTATGTTCCTAACATGAGCATTTAAATGTCGGCCAGTTGAGATTAAAACCTAGTTAATGAGACAGTTATTAAAGGTACGAGACTTTAGCTGATTTTCTACTATGAATCATTTGATTGATAGCCAACTAAGGCAGTATTGAGCACTTTTAATGTTCATTAGTTGTTTAGGGCTTAAATATTTATGATGCAAAATTTCCTTGTATGATATAGATAAATGTTGTTTGGTCTATGGTTAATGGTTAACAGATTGAGAACAATTTTGGAAAATTTGGAAGATAAGATGGGATTTGATCATTGTGCATAAGCACGATGAAGCGATGTCATGGTGTCATCAGCTCGCATCAAGAATTCTATGCAATTTGCTAATATAGGAAATTCAGTGATCAATATTATTTGTCTGCTGATGTGATAAATGTCAGTTTTACTAGTTTCTCTTCTGTTTATCAATGAACTTGTCTAAAGAAGAGTTTTGTTATCTAACTGATGCCAACGATGGAGTAGACAGTTGGCTTACAACATTTAATATTTAACATTTAAATTGAAAGTTATTTGATTGTGTACAAGGAGGCATGGTTTGAGTGTTGATGGTTGAATTCTATGGCCAGACTACTTTAATAATTAATAGGTAATTTCTGGGGTATGTTATTGGTTTTCTTCCAAAGACTTTTTTACATTGAATATTTGTTTTACAAGGTAAAATGCCGATCCAGTTATTAAGGTGCTACATATGTGGTATACTCATGTTTTATATGAAATTATGCTGATGAGGTTTAAAAGAAATCGGAGAGATTTTAGTATATATTAGGGTGTTCATACATTTGAAGAACTGTTAACCATGTTTACTTGCATTTAAGATTTGGATACTTATTATTATTGGGGAGGAACACAACAAATTTCTTTTATAGAAATGAAATTGATAAAATAGTTGAGAACAGTACGATTAATTATTTTTAGCATGATGTAAATAATTCAAAAGCTTTGTGTTCTTTATCAAATTGTTTTGAAGTTACCTAAAAGTTTATCATGCAAAAATTTTATGGGCATGTGAAAACAATGTCAATAAGATGAATAAAGCAGAAATTTGAATTTTAAGATGGTTATGTGGTCATTAACGGATAAGAATGAGAATATCTGCCAACAAGTGGAGGTGCAACGGATTGAAGATAAATTATCATGATGACTTAGGTGTTTAGGCACATGTATTGGGTGGACCTAATGAAGGAGCAGGAGTTGACTTTTTTCGCAGCCTTTCTTGGACTAGTGTTGTTAAATTCTAGAAAAGAAGATCTAGAAATAAATGAATTCTTTTTTCTTTTCGGAATTGATAGCCTATGCTATGCTATGCTCCCCTGGCACAAGCCTACCAGGCTTCACGCTGCGGCTTTTTCGCCCGACAGTCTTTGCCAGTAATGCTATCTTCCCTGCTGGTTGTATGGGTGGGTTGTCTCTTGTTGCTGCATTATGTTAGGCTACGAAAGTTCTCTTTGGATTATTTTTTTTTTCTTTTAGGTTTCCAACTTGAATCAGGAGTGTTCCTACTCATTAAAGCTTTCAGAGTGACTTTAGGTTTGGATTTTCTATTGACTTGTACAATCCTAGTTATAAACTATAACATGTTTTCGAGTTGAAAGTTAGTAGCCTACAATTTTTGCCACATTGTGCCAACAAAAATATCAATTCGAGAATCTCTTTCTCAGTCCTGATAATTCTGGTATGCTGAGATTTAAGTCTAATGTTCTAAATCTTTAGTATCTACTTTGATTTCCACTATTATCCCCTTATTCTTTTAATCTCCTCTTTTTAGGCTTTAAGCTTGTTCCCATCATCTTTAAAAGGCTCTTGTTCATAATAGTGATGGGAAACTAACATGGATAGTTGTAGTTACTAGAATCTAGTTGTTTTGGATCTTTCATTACATATAGCAATGAATCGAATGAAGGGAGAAAAGGGATCATGTAGATGACCTCAAATTTATTGAAAATAAGACCTAGATTTTATTTTATTTTATTTTTCGGTTGTTGTTGAAGATGGGTTAAAAGATTTTTAAGATATGTATACTTCAACTTGTTTGTAGAACAAGTTGTCACTCTAGGTAGTGGATGGTCTTAATTTACCATGCTTAAGGTTATGAGATAGCCCATAACGAGTACTTTTGAGCTTTATAAGAAGATAATGCTTAGGCGTATTCAGGTGCATAGACATGCTGATACTTTCAGGTTTCAGCACTTGTCATGCTTGCATGGGTCAAAAGTTACTGAAAATTTGGAATATGCGAATTTGATAGAAAATTATGCTAATTTAGGGGAAAATGTATTTTGGAATGGTGATTTTTTGAAGATTGTGTGGTTAAAAAAGAAGGAAAAATTTTGGATTTGTGTAAAATTATTTTATTGGTGAATGTGGTTGAAAAGAAAAAAGAGAAAAATGCATTTTAAATAAAATGGAGCCCAATTTGATTTTCTTGAGTCAGTCTTATGAGTACATTGGATAATGTGCATAGACAAATCTAGCATCTGGGCTGTAAGTTATAGATACCAATTTCCAATTTTCTTATGTTTATTTACGGCATCAGCGGAATCTTCCTTTCAGGACTTACTTTCTTTATTTCTACCAATATTTAGAGTAGATTTAGAAGTCTTCAGGTAATCAGTTTGCATGCACTAGCTAATTTAAATTTGATGTAGAAGTTGAGTCTTTCTGTATATTCTACCGAGGAGCTGGTGGTCCCATCTCTGGGATGGGATAAATTTTACCTTATAATTAGAGATTTAAGTATTTTTATAATCACTTTCCTCTCCACTAGCTATGTTTGCAAGTTTCGTGACACTTGACCATGTTTATAGCATCTAACGCCTTTATTTCTTTCATTACATTAATTCCAGGCTGGCGATGCTCTCATACAATTGTACAATAATTTCATAACTGATTTTGAGACAAAGATCAATCTTCTGAAGCTTGCACATTTTGCGGTCGTAGTATCTCGGCAGTACACAGAGAAAGATGCTGCTATTAATTATCTTCAAGGAATAATTGAAAAGCTACGCAATACAAAGGAGATGCGCATTGAGGAACCGATTCTTTATATCAAGATGCAGATTGCTGTATATAAGCTTGAGCAAGAAGATAAAAAAGAGTGCCAAAATCTTTTAGAAGATGGAAAGAGTATACTTGACAGCATGACTGACATCGATCCATCTGTGTATGCTTGCTATTATTGGATTTCCTCTCAATACCATAAATCTCGTCAAGAATTTGCAGATTTCTACAAAAATGCTCTCCTCTATCTAGCTTACACCTCAGTACAGTCGCTATCAGAATCATTTAAGCTGGTAGGGTAATATATCTTGCTTTTTCATTATTTAGGAAATAAATTTGTGATCAGCCCTGGATAGGAATTATTGTCTCCCAAGGTGGTGGTTGCATTGTGCCATCTTTCATGGAAAGCTAAAGCATGATGTTATATAAAATTGTGATAATGACCACCCGTATTAGAGGTATATATTTTTTTATTTCTACCTGGTAATTATTCTGTCGTGACAATTAGTAGTGGATACCCTCACTTAAGTCTGTATGACATCTTATGCTAAAACGGACATTGTGTTTTCGAGTTTCTGTCTTAAAGTAGGTAAGAAATTCTTGTCAGATGATTAGATCTTGAAACGTTTCCGTGGAGAGAAAAAGCAAAAAAACTCTGAAGGTTACCTTTGGAAGAAAGTGTGTCGAGTACACAAACAGTTACAGGTAGCCCAAATGAAGTAGAAAATAGTGTAGCAATAGAAA